TGAAAGCAACAGTGGACTTTCTTTATGAAATGGGTCTATCTGCTGAGTGTGTGAGCAAGGTTCTAACCAGATGTCCAAACATCATAAGTTATAGCGTGGAGGACAAGCTAAGGCCTGCAACTGAGTACTTCCGGTCAATGGGGGTTGATGTTGGAGTTCTTCTCTACCGATGTCCTCAAACCTTTGGTCTTAGCATTGAGGCTAACATTAAGCCTGCCACCGAGTTCTTCAAGGATAAGGGGTTCAGTATGACGGAAATTGCCACAATGGTGTCAAGATACGGTGCTCTATATACTTTTAGCTTCGCTAAGTTGGTATTAAAGTGGGAGTTCTTTTTGACCATGGGTTATCCAAGAACAGAACTGGTCAAGTTTCCTCAGTATTTTGGTTATAGTTTAGAAGAGAGAATCAAGCCAAGGCTTGCCATTATGACTGATAAAGGTGTAAGGTTGTTACTTAACCAGATGTTGTCACTGTCAGAAGATGCTTTCAATAAGGCTTTGGAAAAAAAATTGCAGAAACTAATAGATAGTTAGCCACAGGCAACGTCTCTGATGGAAGTCACCAGCCAATAAAGGGATATGTGGAGATTTTAGCATTTAGATTTCAAAGTCCGTTGAGCCAAAAGTTATGGTTTTGAGTTATTGCTAGGTGAAGATAGCAGTGTTCCTATTAATGTTTTTTTTACAAAGTTGTCTCAATGGATGCTAGGGAAATTTGCTTCCTCTCCTCTTGAGGAATCTTATTGAGTCAGTAGACATCTCCTGTACCTGGTGTACAACTGTACAGACAAAACTAATCGGTAGAATAGCTTTTAGGCAATGCATTTTATGTGTATTTTGTACTGGAGGTTTGTTGTGTTGATAGGCCTTTAGAATATGATCTTTAACAAGTGATTTCTCAATTCTTGGGAGATCAACACTATTTGTGAGGACACACACACATATATATATATATATATGGCTTTCAACAGGATCCTTTGCAACAGTTATCTTTTCTAGACTAGACAATGAACACCTCTTATTCACTGTTTAGTTAAGGTAGTCTATATGTTTGTTTGGACTAATCCTGGGAAATTTACGTTTCCTGTATGTATTATTATCGAGTAACAAGCTTACATTGAGTATGATATTATTTTTTCACATATAGTATCTCATTTAATAGTTCAAATATTAGTATTTGTGATATTGGTTCATTAAGATCATCCACAGATAATATTCATTTATTAAATTTACAGGTTGGAGAATGGAGCACTTTCAAAGTCAGATGTTAAAGTAAATAGTGTGATAGAAATAATTTAAATTTTCTATTTTAGTTACAAGTATAGGTTAGAATAGAAAAACTTACGATACTATGTTATTAAGTTTTTATAACCTTGCCGTAATTTAAATCAAAGTAGATATCAAATATTGTAGGATCAAATCAAGTTTAAAAAAAACTCTAAAATTACATTGTGCTTTTGTACACAACTCTTTGAAATTATTTCAATGAGCACATTTTTTTACAATGTGATTCCTTATTTCACTTTCAAACTTGAAATAGAAAAATTTGATAAATATGCTAAGAAATATATTAAGTAAAATAATGATTCTTTGTTTATTTTCAATAAAAATTATAGCCAAATTCATATGAATCATTTGGTATTATGACTAAATTATTTTTAAATTATAATTTCGAATTAATATATTAAAGATGATTAAGATAAAATATAGTTCCAAATAAATATTTAAAATGAAATCTATATTATATTTAGTTAACCATACAAATTGTCTCTTCTTCTCGTGGAAGATACCTTACTCCCTTATTAATACCTAGTTCTAGAAACGCTGCATGTTTATCTTCTATTACAATCTAAAATTTAAGTAAGTCTAATCTCATGTAAAGCTTATATTTAATATATTTCTGTATAAAATTTACTTTTGCATCCAAAAGTAATTGAAAAGAAGGATTTTAAATAGTCTTCTAGACTAAAATATCTAAATATATGTTTCTCTATACAAATACAAGGGTGACAACTAATTCTTTTCATTTAACTTTGAGTTATTTGTTTGAAAAATAAGATATGTGGAATTAAGTAAAATAAATTAAAATAATATAACATCTGATGATATGTGACATATCAAGGAACTCTTGCCCCAAATCTAAAAAGTGCACGTAAACATCACTAACTTGGATGCTTTGTTTTTTTTTGGTACACTTTGAGCTGATACTTAGGTGAATGCAACAAAAAATTAGGTAAGACACATAATATTTAAATAGGCTTAAGTCATCGATAGCCACTTAAAGTTGTCCACAAATTTCACTTAGACACCTTTTCTTAGGCTTGTTCCAATTGAACACCTAGACAACAAAATTTTTTACCTATTAAACCCTTTTTGCTGACATGGCAAAGTGTTTATAATACACACAAAGAAATGAGCGTGAAAGCATAACTTTTCAGTAAAAAAAAAAGATTTTATATCTTCTTCTTCTTTGAGAAGGCTCATCACCATTTTTCCATGGCAAGCTGCAACCATCACCGCTCATAATTCTGCAACCATCACCACTCATAATTCTTTCTCCTTCTTTTTCGATTTTCAGCCATTCTCTTTCTCCAATACACCAGTTTATTAAATCGGTTGCTATCATCCATAAGTCTACCATTGTCAAATAACCAACTACACATTCAAATTACCCACCATAAGTTTTTCAACCGTAAAAAATGTTATCTCTGCTGCCATCAAAAGTATCTAAGCTTGTTCATCTATTTTGTCAAATTAAACCCAAACATAAATTAAATAAAAATCTTAAAACAAAAGAAAAACAAAAAAAGGAAGAAGATGAAACAGAGATTCCTTTCCTTTGAAATGGGATGTTAAGCAAATTTCATTAAATAAAGATTAAAAAAAATTAAAGTAACGAGCAATTAGTGATCAATCATCTTTTTACTTTACTTTAGTGTTCATTATTTCCGGCAAACTCCATTTTTTGGGGCAAGAATAATATGAATTTGAAATTATTATTTGAAATTGTTAATTTATTTAAATTTTAAATAACTGACAACACAAGAAGAAAAAAGAACATCAATAAATCTAAATGAAGTTTGAGGATAAGAGTAAGATTTAAAAATGATAGTCTATGGTGTATTTAGTTACTATGCCACATCACCAGCAAGTGTATAACACACACTCTCTTATTTCAGCTGATTGTCTATAAAGTGTTTGATAGGTAAATTTTTTTATTAGTACGGGATTCAATTGGAACAAGCCTAAGAAGAGGTGTTTAAGTGAAATTTGCAGACAACTTTAAGTGGTTATCGATGACTTAAGCCATTTAAATATGACCATCATTATTATCTAAAATGATTTTCTTCCAAATATTGTAGCTAGCTAGGTATGATATGAAACCGGAAAAACTGAGTTCTTATAAAGTAAACAGAATAAATTTAACGACAGAGACATAAATGCACCTTTTCAATGATCAATTTATATAATTAACATAATTAAGTGAAATGACAAAGAAAGGAAGAAGAAAATTTTCATCTCACTTACCCAAAGTATGTAAATCAGTGAAAACGCGTTGAATTCCTTCAATAATTGCCTATAAATCAAATATCAAAAGAGAATTTATCAAAACATGAACATGTATTAGCTACTTACTATGTTTATTAGAAGGTTAACATTGTGAAAAGATGAATTTTAACCTCCGCAAAGATAATGAAAGTGATTATTGATCAACTAATGTATTTAGAGTGAAATGAAAGATTTATTTGATAGTTGTGCATTTCTCTCATAAAGTCATAATCAATACCGTACAACTCTTCATTCGCCCTCTTTAATAATAGAAGTGAACAATTATAGGTAATGGGAGAGTAATTTAGATTAGGAAGAAAATCAAAAGCCAAAAAACTTATGAAACAATATGATATAGTTATTATTTAATATTTAATTTATTAATAGTTTATAACATTTTAATTAAATATAGGAGTAAAACGGTAATTTGATTTTTTCCTAATATTTTTTTAATTTATAATAAAGATAAAATCGTAACCTTAACTTTTAATTTTTTTTATTCCCAGTTATAATAATATATGATATGATAGATAAAATTACATTAACCAAATGATAACATTAAAATAATAATTGGTTAATGATTCTGGAAAAGCATTAGGAATTGACAATGGCCGTGGGTGATAGGGGTGTGTCGAAATGACACGTATTGCACTCAAAGTACATACACAAGTTACCGTTTGTGAGGAACCCCATAAAATCGATAAGAACAAACGTGTCTTTTAAAAAAAAAAACTTTTTTTACTGTAAATATATGAGACTACGGAAAAAAAAAAAGAATAACTTTTAATTGAATGCAAGAACAAACCATATTTGATTTGTCTCCAAATTTTAATTGCTTGTTCCTAAGCTAATAATATAAATAAATACGCTATTTCTAGAAAGTAGAAATCCTATTTTTTTTTTAATTACATTATTAAAAAAATGCTTCTACATCTACAGTCAGAAGCATGAAATATTAATTACTAGTTCCCAAGTATGCCTAATCAGTTACATGAGCTCTCAATAGAAAGTTATATTTATTTGGTCATTAGTGTTATTTTATGGTGAGATAGGGGTTTATTTGGTCGTACATTCCAAAAACGGAGAAACACATTTCGAAAATTAAAAAATTGTGAGACTTGTTTGACAATCCACTCCCTCTTCTCAAAGGGCTAGCAGTTGAATGCAGAGCCTACACTTTGGTTCATCTCATACATAGAAAAAATTTGTAAGTAGAGTGAGGCATTTTTGTCTCTCTCTTGTACAAAAACAAAGATAGGTAAAGAGAGAAAGAAGATGTTTTATTCACAGTTACTTCTTTCAAAGAAGGGGCCTTTAGGCACCATTTGGATTGCTGCTCATTGTCATAAACGTCTCAAGAAAGACCAAGTCCAGCAGACAAACATCGTTTCTTCTGTCGGTGCGTTTTCCGTTTTCCTGTTTTTTTGTTTACCCCTTTCTTCATCTTTGATGGAGACTTATTACAAGAACAAAAAGTAGTCTTTTTAATTAAGATGGTGTTTTTTTATCTTTCTTCTTCTCCTGTAAACGCTTTTCTCCTAACCTCTTTTCTATTTGTATTTATTTTCTTCATACATTAAGACAGAGTGAGAGGTTGTTTCTTTACCCTTTAGAGAACCCTGATTTCTAATTTAACCACAGTGTTATTTATTGGAATTTAGTGTTCTGTTGACTTACTAGTAAAAAGAGACGTGCTGCTGACATGAGTTTGGCGGATTTCTTTACATAGCTCTCGCATGCACAGTTCATATAGTTTATTTTTGTCCCAAATTGCAGCTACTAGTTACCTTTTGTCTCCATTGTGTTAGATGTCATCCCTACATCAACTATAGCCTTCTATTTTTCACATATAGTTGGATGGCTGAACAGTTGTGCTCAAATTGAGTGCTAAAACCATACATTTTTAAACTAGATTTTTCGTAAACCACTGCTTGTCAATCACATCGGAAAGTCGTTGGGTCATTAGAGACCTCTCTCGGCAAATAATTTTACCACAATGCCCCAATTAAGTACTACCACTTATAGGAATCTTCTTTCCTAGTAGAATGCCCCCCATGAGAAGAAAGAATATTGTGGTGCTCAGCTTCTCGTTGAACCTCGTGGGTAAACTAATGAATGGAAGAATGTGATTTGATCACAGAATAGAATCGGGGTTTTGGTCATGAAGGTGAAATAGGTTCATGTGTGACTGACATTTTTTTTTTTTTGGAAATTTCACTTAGTTTGCAACTTCTAGTGTTAGCTGTAACAAATGCTATAGTTGTAACATGGAATTCACAAGACTCAGTGTAAAATATTAATTACTTGGAAATTAGCATGTCTTCCGAGCCACGGAAAATGGTTTCTGGCTTTATGTTGGATTGTGAACCTTTGCTGCAAACTTGGGTGATTATAGGTGGTGTTAAATGCTGTCTCTGTGAATTCCCTGGATGATCTAGGTAACTGTTTTTGGCGGGGTTATCGGAAACCTCTCTGCCTCCGTAAGGTAGGGGTAAGGATGCATATGCACCATCCTTTGCAGACGCCACTTGTGGAATTACATCGGGCATGTTGTTGTTGTTTGCAATCTTGATTACGTTCACATGTTTATGAATTGCTGTGTATATACGTAATGAATGTGATTATTGTCTTGGGATCTTTTTTATTTCAGATTCTTGACACTGTTTGATTCTGTTTTTTTAATTGCAGCACGATGCACATAAAAGTAGCATTAAGAATTTTAATCATTTCTTGAGTGATTTAGATTTGCTTTACTGGTTTTTCCTTTGCTCAGAGAAAATTCTGCATGATGAAGCTCCTGTGGTCACATACAGAATTTTAGGTCACCTGCTCCTGGGTGTGGTTAGAATATATTCGAAAAAAGTGGAGTATCTTTTCAAAGACTGTAATAATGTTCTTGTTAACCTTGCTGATTTTTCAACTCGCAATAGACCAACTAGTAAACCATCAGTTGTAAGGATCGCGGGTATGCATGCTCCTGTCCACTCTATCACCCGACCAAAGAAATTTGAACTGGATACTTTTGATCTGGAAGTCTTGGAAGATCAAGACGCAAACAGGTAAAATAAATACTTTCCATGAATGACGTGGTTTTCCATGTTAATTTGTATGTTTTCCTTTCTCTTTCTCCTTGTGTTTTTTCTGATTGTCGGTTTGGGGTTTAATTATTTCAATCTTGGTTTGCAACAAACTGTTTTGAAGTAGTCATTTCGCATCCCGTGAAGAAATCACGCTTTCCGGTACAGTACATTTCTGTTGTCTTTTAATTCATGGTTACTTTTTTCGGCTTTATGTCACTTACTTTTTTTAAAAGAGAGTTTCTGCTTTTTGTTTCAGATGCTCAGGAAAATTTAGTTTTTGGCTCATCTTGCAAGGTAGTCATTTTATGAAGTATAATCATTTCTTTGGTTTGTTTTGTTAACAGCATGTCTCGGCCTTTGAAACTTTTCCAACAAAAGAAGGCAGCATAAATCACTTTCTGCTTTGTGTTCACTTAATACCACTATCACTGCTTAGCAAGATATACTACTGTTTTCCCTGAATATCTCATAGTTTATGTTAAACTCTTTGCTATATGTTGTTAGAACCTTAGGATTGGTGTAGCACATCGAATCAGTTGATTGATTTTAAATTATTATCTGCAAAGTGGTTAGTGGAATTTGTACTTGTCAAGATACATCATGGATTCACGAATTCACGTAACTGCTTTTCTTTGAACAAGTACTGGACAGTGTTAGTGGTGCTGTGTTTAATTTGAAGAAGTTATTTGATGGATCAAACTGGTTCAAGTTTCTGATGATACTTGAATAAGAATTAGCTTAGAGCCGTAAGCAGTCACCTTCATTTGTTTTTTTCCTGATGATGGCATGGGTTGGTTGGAATTTCGCATAACTACTACTTTCATTTTGTGTGGGTGTTGGGGTTGGGGTGTTCCCGTCTCTATCTCTCAATCTGGTACTGCTGCATGAAAAACTTCAAGCTTTGTTTTCTGTGGATATTCTTGCATACATGACATATAAGCTGCTTTTTTCAGTATGAGGAAGGTGTCTCTCATTCAGAGTTGAAGTCCACAAATCACACTCCAGTTAGAGAGTATGCACTGATCTCGCACCTCTTTAATTAGATCTAGTGCTAGTGCTAAGAATTTAACATTTCATGTTATAGCATATATTCACCTCACCTGATGGACAAAGATTTGGACTTCAACCCATCAGTTGGGTCAAGCCACGTGGAAGCTATGTGGAACCTTAATGAGACTAGATTCTCCTTGGAAGAGCGCTTTGAACCAATGACCTTTGGGGACATTGAAATTCAGATGATCTTTGATAGGAAAGCTGATCACCAGACTGGTGATGAGCAAATGAAAGAGTCGAGTGCTGGGAACTTAGTAAACGAGGAGCATCTTTATGAAAAGAGGTCATCTTTGGAAAAGCACGCAGAACCGATGATTATCACAGAAGCTACATTGGAAATCAACACCGATCAACAATCTGAGAAAATTCATCAGCATACTCGTGAGCTCTTAAAACACCCTGATGTAGGAGTGAATGTAGATGATGAACAACCAGCAGTCCTTGGTGAATCATCTCTTGTGGAAAACTGTGGTTTTGAGCAAAAGAAAAATGTTGAAGCATCTTCCTCGAGGAAAGGGAAGGATCGGACTAAAGTTGATCGATCAGTGTCCCTCTGTATTGATGTATCCCCAGAGACCAAGATCGCAGGTGATTCCTTTATCTGGTTTACCTTGTTCTTTCACATATCTTTTAGTTGAACAGCTGAATCCGACCGGAAATGGAATAAGCTGCACCTGCCACCCCTCTTTTTCCCCTTCACCTAGAAAAAATAAGGAATATGTGTGCCCCTTCTCACCCTTTTTGCTTGCTTGTTGGACACAATCTAATTTGTCCCTTCAGATGCCCAAGCAAATCATGTTCTAAAATGCTTGTTGTTTTAACCAACATCACTTTCTTCTAATTCAGGATCTACATCACCGGATTTTATATCTATTCGCACCCCAGCTAAGAAGGAGCGTAGGCGGATTTCAAGGAAGCGGAAGTGCATATTTGATGAATCTATTGTGATCCCAAATGAGTACGATCCTTTTCTTTATTCAACCTATTGCACTAAGATATCCGTATGCAGGATCTTCTTGTTGTAACCTTCTTTAGTTAGTGCAGTTAAGTTCATCGCATAGTTAGAAGAGATTGATGTGACACAACCCTAACATGCAGGGTATTCAAGCACTGGATTGGCGATGCAAATGACTTAGTTTGCAAGAGAAGGAAATCCCCTCATTCCAGTTATTTTGCATGGAAAGTACATAAAATTTCCTCACTTCCTCAGAGTTTTGAGGAGCCTCTTATTCCTTGTGAGTAAAGGTTCAAACACTGCCACTGCCATTTCCGTGTTTTAGGTAATTTAACTAACCAACTGTGGCAATGCAGGTAGTCTTTCGATTGATATTGCATCAGCAATTAGCAAAATTAGATCAGCACAGCATGGGCCTGCAGAAACAGTAGAAATTCCTCTGCGTGAGGACATGCCAGACTCTCCTTATAAACTCAGATCTGGGGAACAAATACCTATTGCTTCTGCTACATCTATGCATGAGTATTTACCTGAATCTCCTGGTACCCTCAGATGTGGAGAACAAATACCTGATGCTCCTGCGGCATCTCTGCATGTGGGTGTACCTGAATCTCCTAATACTCTCAGATATGATGGAGAACAAACACCTATTGCTCCTACAACACCTGTCACTGGCTCAAGTTCGCTGAGATTTCATGATACGCAAGGAACTTCTAAATCACACATAGAACCAGCAAGTTCAGCTGAAATCACAGAGAAAGAAGCACTTTCCATGGAGGATGTAGAATTTGAAATGAATTTAATGGACGAGGTATGACACGATTGACTAGTCTGATTGCTTACATAAGTAAAGGAAATTGCTTTCAGCTACTGAAGTGTATTGTGATGATTATTAACTTTTTTTGGAAATAAAAAAGTTCTATTGTCTGTATCTGTTATTGCAATGCTAATAAGTGCTAACTGCAACAAATGCGCTCTTTCCTCAGGAGATCAATTCATTTGAAGGGGATACCTCAGGAAAATGTAAGGAAGTACTGTTTTAGTGGTGCAATATTATTTCAATTGAGTTGCCATTCTCATAAGTTGTTGTCTTGGTTGCAGGCAAATATTCCCTGAGAACAGGGTATGATGAATAAGGGATCTCAGTTTCAATTCTTGCATCCCCTTGTCTGTGGCATCTTTTGGTTATGACTCTCAGAAATTTGTGAAAATTCATTTCTTCTGTTTTTGGCGGTGATCCAATTTTTGGCTTTTTGCATGCAGAAAGGTCGCAAAATTCCTGTTTGAAAACTTCCTTGCTCGGAAGGGGAAGGAGGAGGTAGAAGTTGTCAACTTGTCCTTGCTTATGAAGGGGAAAACAAAGGGAGACAGTGCAAGGGTGTTCTACGAGATACTGGTATTGTTTTTAGGTTCCTTTCATCTTTCTGGTAATTTTAGGTCTGCCAAATTGAACTTGTGGATGAACGGAATTATTTGATACATATTTTGAGTAGCGCTTTCAGCAGGAGTTTTTGTCCCTTGTTTCCCTTCTGTCAAGCATCCAGGATGTGCTCTAGATGGTGGTGCTTAAAAAGGAATTTCTTTGGTTCTATTGTTGTTAAATGCCCCCGTGTTTCTTGGCCTATAAACATTGGTTATAATGGACGGACACATGAATTTATTTTACGCATTTGTCTCTGGTTTTACGTAAATATAATCCCAACGTAAGATATATACATTGTGAATTATTTTACAATGCTTATTTTCCACGCAGGTTCTGAAATCAGGAGGCTGTATAGATGTGCGGCAGGATGATGCCTACAGTGACATTCTTTTGCAAAAACTCCCAAGACTAAAGCAGACCTTTGAAGCTGAGTCCTGAATCTATATATATATGTTCACAAAGAGAGCTGTGTTGGTAAATAGTAGCCAGAGGAAACAATCACATGACATATATGCTTTTATATATGTTTGGTAGTATATATGAGTGGAAGAGCGCTTTTCTTTGCTAGCTATTGCTCTTCCTCCTTAACATGAAGGCAAGTTAGGTTATTGTTAACTATTATGTCTTCTATCAGGAATTAGTTGAATTTATTGTCAATGTTTTGGTTTATAACTACTACTGGTGCCCAATTTAACCACTTGTGAAAAGCTATTACTCCAATTTTCTTTAACATCAAATACACGAAAAGGCTTTTTATGAGAAAATTGTATACCCAATATATATCTGGAAGTGGTTATAGAAAAATATTGCTCTACAATGTTGTCAATTCATAGGCGTTTTAATCAACAATGAGCAATAATAGTTGTGACTTATGTCGTATAAATATCATGTTACATTTGTATTTGTGAGTTTTAAAAAGCTTTTATCGCGAAAAAAAAAAAAAAAAAAGACATGGTAGGAGTAGGACACAAAGAGGTCTTTCGTGTCTTTAAGTACTCATAGAATAAAAATTAGTTTATGCATAAAAATTTTGATGTATTATTTGATTGTCAAATTCGAAATAATTTATTCCTCCAATTTTATATGTAATGGAAGAAAAAAAATTAAAATAATTTTTAGGTATTTTTAAAATGTTTAATAATTTCTTTTTTAAAAAGAAGTTTTTGTAATCTCTTTATATAAATTTAAATTTAATAAAAATAGATGAAAACCCAATCGCTCTTTATTTTTAATTTATATAAGAGAAATAAAACTGGACATAAAAGAAGTCCCAATTATTTCTTTTTATTTATTACCCAGTCCAGTTGAAGCCTCGTCTCTTAGACGTGAATCTGCTGAAACTCATAAGTGTGTTGATTGGGCGAGAGAGATGAATCTGAACATGAATTCAATGGAATCAGTGGTTGCTCAAATCCAAGGGCTATCGAGCAATTCATCAGACATAACTCAGCTTCACAACTTTCTCAAACAATCGGAAGAGCTACTCCATTCCGACTTCTCTCGCTTGCTTTCTTCTCTCGCTGAACTCGATCCTTCTATTCACTCCCTAGGTTTTCTCTATATTCTGTAAGTTCCTTTTCATCCTCATCTCTTATTCTTATAACCTAAACCTAGGGTTTCTATTCTGAAGATTATTATTTGTTTAAATTAGCCATTGTTAGGTTATATATATAGATATATTGATTAAAACACCCTGGGCTGTGGCTTAGTCATCGTGGGCTATGGACGATGAGGTTTCATGTTAAAATCCCAATGCAGGTGTTTTTTTCCCATCTGCCCTAACTTTGTTGGACACCTGGTATTGGTACGCGTGGAATTAGCTTGGTGGACACCACGGTGATTATGAAAAAAGAAAAGCTAATTGACAAAGAGGATTGTTATGGTCAACACCAATACATGTAGGATTGAGGCATAGTTGATTGATTGATTACATAATCTATAAAAATAATGCAGAATTGAACCATCCACTGAATTAAAGACCAGTATTTGTGTAACAAGTGCGCGTTGTCTTTTGTACTCTGTCTAGTGTGTATTAATCATATAATTGTGTTTGTTAACTAACAGGGAGGCATGCATCTCATTCCCAGTTGCAAAGGAGCATGTTAGTGAACTGCTTGTTTCTGTCGCTAGATTTATCAATTCATGTTCTACAGAGCAAATCCAGTTGGCGCCCAATAAGTGTAATTTTCTCTGGTTTCTGGAATAGCTTTTGTGAATATTCTTGTTTCTGGTCTAACTTATATTGAGGCACGTCTTCAATTTGTGGTTGCAGTCATTTCTGTTTGTAAAAAGTTCAAGGATCATGTTTTCGGACTGGAAACTCCGATTCGTGGTGTGGCTCCAATGCTGACTGCTATTCGTAAACTGCAATCCTCCCCTGAGCAATTAACAACATTGCATGCCGATTTTCTTCTTCTTTGTCTATTAGCAAAGTGCTACAAAACTGGCTTCTCTGTGCTGGAGGATGACATATATGAGATTGATCAGCCACGGGAGTTTTTTCTCTATTGTTACTACGGGTTAGTTGTTTCAGACTTTCTGCTTAGAAGTTATTTCAGTTGTGTTGGTGTCGTTCCCTTGTTCCGTTCCTTGTTTAAATTTCTCTGTGACTTTTAAAAAAAAAAATTGGAATATTTTTTATGGCAATTCATTAAATCATGCTTTCCTATCAGTGTGTTTTCTAATTTTTATAGGAAAGAGGAACTTTACTCGCCTATGAATATTTGTATTTGCTTGTATAGTTATCTGGTGAAAGAATTAATTTTGTTCAAAAACCCATGGTATTGGTATACAATTATCTACGTCTGCCTTTCTTACCTTTGATATTGTTTAGTTCTCCAACCTAAAGACAAAGTTCTTAACAGCAATGTGAATCACAAGTGATGTATCAATTTAGAATGAGATTGAGTAATTCAATATTTTCTTAATTAAAAAAGTCACTGATATAATCTTTCTATCGCTTTCTGGATTTTTCTGGATTTGTGTCTTATACTTGTTGACATGTCTTATAATTTGAACATAATAACAGGGGAATGGTTTGCATTGGACAAAAGCAGTTCCGCAAAGCATTGGAACTCTTGCACAATGTATGTTACTGTGTTCTCATTCCATGTTTCCTTTATTGGTATTTGGTTTTGTTATTCCCTATTTGCAAGTTACTATATATTATCTATATCTGTCCGTTTGTGCTGATTCTATCTGTTATGCTTCTAGGTTGTGACTGCACCTATGTCTACTCTAAATGCAATAGCAGTTGAAGCTTACAAAAAGTACATTCTGGTTTCACTGATTCATCTTGGGCAGGTGTGTTTTGCCACCATTTTTTACATACTTTTGGTGATAATATTTAGTCAATATTCTTGTGACGTCTCTGTTGGACAACAGTTTGTGAGATCTATGTGTCTTTTCTGGGGCTTGAGCTTGCACTGCCGTATAACCTTCTTATTTTACATTATGTATGATATTATCACCGATGGACTCGTTTAGTTTGAGCCACAATGTGTCAACTTTTTAAAATGATTTTGGCTTGTAATATGCACTTTGAGTAGAGATGTAAGCACCCCCCTCCCCCCCTCACCCAAAACAACAACAAATATGCACAAAGTAAAAAAGAATATGATAGGTCATGTTTCCGATGTTTATTCTTGCTGATTTTCGTTCTCCTGATTAAATTGAGGTTTGCTTATCATGGCAGTTCTCTACCAGTTTTCCCAAGTACACTTCTTCCGTGGCTCAAAGGAACTTGAAGAATTTCTCTCAGGTAATTATTTCAACTGTGCAAACATTGATTCCAAGTAGCACCGACTGTTCCACCCAAAGCAAATTGAAAGGAATATTTTCCCTCAAATGATTTGATGACAATGCAAGCTCAGTTAAGTATGCACAGTTGGCGTTACAATGTTGATGTTAGAAATCTTGTACTGATTCAAGTGTTGTTTCAAAGTATAAGCATTGCATATTTTGTATTAGCACTTAGCAGGCTAGGCATGAAACTACATAAATGATAATGAAACAAGAAATATATCAGTATCTAATAGAAGTGAAAGAAAGAACGCATTTTCGTGTATCGGAAAAGTCACTGTTTAGAGTCCTCAAAATCTGTTTAGTGTACTCAGCGAAGAAATAAGGTGACCAGCTGGAAGCTTCTGAAATCCCAACAATATTTTCTAATATAAAATGAATCCAATTTGGGAGGAGACTGAAGAGACGCCTCATCAAGGATAATTCTCTGTCATGTGTGGTCCTTATGTGTGGAATATAACATAAACTACTTATTATTTCTTTTTGAGCAGCCCTACCTGGAGTTATCAAACAGTTATGGGACTGGAAGAATCTCTGAACTTGAAACATTTGTTCAAACAAACAAGGAGAAGTTTGAAAGCGTAAGTTTTCTTGTGGTCAAACTGGTACATTTCCTGATCTTCTAGCAGCTAAGATGAAAGAGCATGGGTGCAAAGTTCTCAACTCCCAAACTCCCATGTTAGTCCATCTTTTGTGGAAGTTGTAACAATCTTTTCATTATATTTTCAGGATAATAATCTTGGATTAGTGATGCAAGTAGTGTCTTCTATGTATAAGCGCAATATTCAGCGGTTAACTCAAACGTACCTAACTCTCTCCCTCCAAGATATTGCTAACACTGTCCAGCTAAGAGACCCCAAACAGGCAGAAATGCATGTGCTTCAGATGGTATCCTGCTTTTTGATCTTGGATTGTGTAAGCCTTCAACTTTGAAACTTGAAATGCTGATGTTTCACTTTTGGTTATAGATTGAAGATGGTGAGATATATGCAACAATCAATCAGAAGGATGGTATGGTTAGATTTCTGGAGGATCCTGAGCAGTATAAAACGTGTGGAATGATTGAACATATCGATTCATCAATTAAGAGGTAAGACTTCTGTTACTTCGGTCATTGGATATGGATATTCTACATTTTACTTGTAATTAGACGGTAATTTTTCTGTCCAATGTGGTGGCTATAGGCTATAGCTACTGATTGGCTTTTTAAGAATTTAAATGTTATCTCAAACTCCAAATAAAGTTGGAATGAATTTGAACTTATGCACATGGTACTAATGATGGATGTCATGATATGCGCAAAAGAATGCCAATTTCCATCCAGCAATTTGGATATCTGCACCAATTGTACCTACATAAGGGAGATGTTTCTAAAATACTAGCGAGTGAGGGAGGGTGAAATTAAAATTTAGTAATGTTGTACATAAATAGGTTGGAAATTTTACTTTGCATCGCTTGGGGGTTATTTGGTTGGAAACTAGTTATCCCAGGATATCCTGGGAGGGATATAACTTATCCTACCATGTATATAGGATAACTTATCCCATCACTATGCTATAAATGGTGGTAAAAGTTATTTCAAACAACACATTTAAATTTTATCCTTGGACTAATTTTTTATCCCAGGACTATTTATGCTTATCCCTCACACCAAACGAGCCCTTATTGATAGTAGGGTAAGGCTAAAGGGTAGGGTTCTCCATTAGATTTACTTTAATCTTTTCATCTCTATCTCTCTGTGTACATATGTTCTAAAGAATTTTACAATATGTGAATGAAACTTATGTCATGTGATCCTATGTACATATGTTCTAAAAACTACAATGATGTATGTTTTTCTATTGCAGATTGATGGCAGTGTCGAAAAAGTTGACGTCTATGGATGAACTTATGTCATGTGATCCTATGTACCTAGGAAAGGTAAAACTATGTCAAAGTCCTCTTTCGCTAACTGCTTAATATAACAACTGTATTTTTCACTAATTTAATGTGTTTACTTGCTATGCAGGTTGGTAGGGAGAGACAGAGATTTGATTTTGATGATTTTGACGGTGTTCCTCAGAAATTCACTATCTGAGACTAGCAAAGTTCAGTTTTCTGAGTAAATATGGCAAATGATGCTGATATGTTCATTTGAAATATAAGCAAACTTTATTCCATTGACCTCAAGAAATGGCTAAGGAAATAGGTGTATTTAACTCCTGGTTCAATCAGTGGTATCATGTTTGTTTTATTTGCCCTTCTGCTTTTCGTTTTGTGTGGGCAGGTTGAACTGCTTGCTCTAGTTTTATTTTACTATCTAGCAAGGGAACTGTTTAGTTGTAGTTAGAGGCTAGGAGGATGATAATGTTCATCTTCTTTAGTGGACATTGGTGTTTTAGTTAATTTGTTTTGTAGTAGCAAGTTCCTCGAATGGTTAGAGATCTCCCAGTTTTTAGTTATTACAAAAATGGATACCCTTCTTTGTACTTACTTATAATAGTAAAATAAGATGCTTTGCATGGTCAACAGCGTTGTATTGCCCCATAATTTCGAGGATAAAAATCTTTAGTAGGTGTAGAACTGAACATGCTAAAAGCAACACAAGATGTGTAATTTTCAGTAATTAGATTTACTGATGAAGCTTCCCTATACGAGTATTTGTTTATCGTCTTTTCCTTCCACTGGATCTCTAGACCCATCTTGACAAGCTTTTAAGGAAAGTCAGATGGGGACAGGTCGCCAAATGTGCTAATACAACTGCCTAAATAATACATTTTAAAAAATGAAGAGTACTAATGTATGAGCAACATTTTTCTTTGCAAACGCCAAATTAACTTGACATTCAATAACATTGGAAAAGCGACATGGTAGCATTCATAGTAATCTTAACTTAGTTCTCCATGTATCTCCTACTACTTTCCTGGGCTGTGGATTATCTGGTCCTCTATCCCGCTGTCCAGAGGTGAAATACAACCATCCATCCCAGAATCCCGCCTGTGTTGTCTTTGCCCGATATGGCATCTTTCCAATGGCAGACCATGTCTGTTTAAATTGTTAAAAGAAGAAAAAAACTCAGAAGTCAAGACTGTTGAAAAGAAAATAAGTTATGCAGTGACTTGTATGGAAGGCAATGAAACAGAGAAGTAACTTAACGTTTAAGCTTAACTGAAACGTCATCAAAAAGTATATTATGTAGATTAAGACAGAGATATTTCCAACATTGATGATTGATTGGAGTCAAAGAAAAGGAGGTAAAATACCAGTGTATTTAGGTTGAACTGGAACACCTCTCCAACTAAAATCATCCTTTTGGTCACGGGATGCTTCTCTGTTGTGCCTCCAACAATAACAATAGAATTATTTACAATAACCCAAGAACATTCTATGTGCGAAACTGGTTTTGGCATAGAAGGCAACTGTTTCCATTTCATACTTTCATCTAGCATATAAACATCTCCAAAAACCACCTGAAGTCACAAACATACAAATTATAGTAACTTCCCAAAAAAAACTTTGAGACAAGACCATTATAAGGAAGACACAACCTCGAGTTTAGTTGACCAGATTGAAACAAGAATACCTGAGCTTTAATAATCAGATTACTGAACCTAGATAAAAACTATAGCAACATATACCTCGAACCTTCGCGAGCATTTAAAGATAGGGGAGCCAGGTTTGGCCATAAAATCACCCTCTTGACCACCAATTACGTAGAGCTGATCACCAACAGCAATACAAGCCCTGTAGGGAATAGCCTCAAGTTCAGGATTTGAAATAAATTGCATTTCAGAACAGGGTATATACTTTTAAAGAAAGGAGAGCACAATTTTCAATATGGACCTGTTAGACATTTTGAATTGATATTTACCAAAGTTCATGTTAATGACTATTCTCAAACTAATCAAGTATAACCTTCAACATAGTTTTAGCTTTTAAAGTCCTCATAAAAGTATAATGGAACAAGGGCTATAGCCTTAGAAAGAACAACTGACAAACCTATGTGGTCCTCCACGAGGAATGGGTACTTCTTTGCGCCAGTGCTTCTCTAAGGCTTTTCCATTAGCTACTGCAAGACTCCAATGATCTAATCCAGGGGTGTGGCGATTCTCTTTGCCTCCACCCATCACATGTAGCCTGCCTTTCCAAAGCTGAGTTGCTGGTGCATACCTGAAAAAACCCTAGTCATTACTCTAGTTTTGTATCAAACTCATCATAAGCTACTTATTATTTCAATATGCTATCACTATGATGTGATGCTAATCTAGAACCTAAATGGATGATGGGCTAGTTAGAAACTTGATGGATGATGGGCGCGTTCCTCTTACCATTTTCCACTTAAAATACCAGGCTTTTTATCTGCAGCAGAATTTGAAACCTTGATGTGCGCCTAAACCACAGATTATCTTGTCGGTCTCTACAACCCACAGTTTCTTAAACCACTTCATTGACCACTAGGTCACACACCTTTAGGTGCACAAGAAACTGATACTATATCAACAACCTCCATCTCTATTTGTGATTATTTAAGAAATAAGGTAACAATCTAGTCTAGGTTTAATGTTACAAAAGAGATGTGTTCTTGGATAAGCCAGCAAGGATACATACCTTGGTGCTGGTAATGGTGGCAAGCTTTCCCATTTTCTGGTGTGTGTGTCCAAAACAAATGTTTTCGCTGTAGGTCCCCTGCATTGGGGACCATATTGTCCTGACACTATATATATGTATCTTCCATCAGTAGCCACCCCTAAATGTGAATTTGCCATATCTTTAGGTATTGCAAAACTCTCCGTCCATGTATTTGATGTAAAATTGTAAACATCAACATGAGAATGCACCTATAGATAGTGTAATTAGTATAGTTAACTAGCCAATTTTCAATCTAATTAAAAAAAAATGGGGAAAAAGATTTTTACATGGTCTAGGTTTTCATATCCTGCAAAAACGAAAAGCAAATCCTTAATCTGAAGAGAATAGCCATCCAAACGAACCACAGGTGCAGATGCCATCTGTTCCCATTTCAATTCAGGAGCAGGCAAATCAGCATAGGTCATGGATAACGCTCTCTCAGGGTAACGATCCTTATTACTTCCTCCTCCTACATCCTGATTCTACAAAATGCAAAATAGATCATAATTTCGTAGTAATTAGTTGAAGCAACCCAAATGCTCTTAACTTACCTGATTGGAGACATTAATACGGTACTTGTCAGGAGCCCAAGTGGTAGCAAGGGAAACATAAGCAGAAGAAGAAGCGGAATGAAAATCGCGGGTCAAGGAAATTGCTAGAAGAGCAACAAATGCAAGAAGAAGAATGATGGGTTTTGCGAAACTGTGCTTTGCTGTTGATCTTATCATTATGTTGTAATAATAATACAGGAGCCCTGGGAAGAATACCCATTTGCGCCATTGATATAAGATAGGTTTATTAATTGGAGGATTGTTTTAAGAGGAAGAAGCGCGGCCGCTAATGGTTTTTCACTTTGCCCCTTGCTTTTCTGCCTCTCTCTCTTTCTTTTTTTTTTTCTGATTCCTTCCCCTCTTCTTTTGGTCGAAAAAAAAAAATTTATTCTGTTAAATTTCTATTTTAGTCGTTAATTTTTAAATATTTTTATTCAAGGTTAATTTTTTTTAGTAAGTTAAAATTGTCTAACGTACTCGCTCTTCTTTTTCTTCACACTTCACATATTTGAACCATTTCATGGTTCACTCATTTTATCCATCACATAGATTATTTAAAAAATCTCACTTTTATTTAGTTTGATACGATATGCAACATAATCATCATTTTGTTTGTTTCTTTAAATTAAAAGACTAGTCTTCCTCTTTAAGATATGATTTGTGCATTATCTTTATTTCTACCTCCGCCTTATGTTTTAAGTTACTGAACTTGCGTTCTCGATTTTATGTTTTACGTGTGCTGTATTATTTTTTGTGACGGCTATAGCCTAAACAAAAAGTTACTACATGGTTAAACTTCAGTTCTCTAACTTTCTTTGATCCTCCAAAGGCCCAATTAAATTAGCTGGGTTATCTTCTTCTTTGGGCCCAATACCATTTATTATCGGAAGGCCCAACGAGAAAGATAGAACAGCTCGTCCTGGAGCAAAACCTCCTCCTCTTAGAATTTTCTGAATAGTTTTGAAGACTAGACTGGTTTTCCGGATCTCTCAGGCGCTGTTTGTCCTATCGCCGTCGATCAACCCTCTCTACGGTCCTTTTCCGGTGAGATATTATCCCTTCGTCTCTCCTCAATTTCTTCGAAGCTCTAGCTTGTTTCATCTTGAAAAGCACCCTAGGATTCCCTTACTTGTTGACGGTGTTTTGAGTAGAACGAATTTGCAGATCGCACAAAGTTGTTTGCTAGGGGAATAAGGAACTGTAGAATGAGTTAGGTTAAATAAATAGTCCGTTCTTAGGCGTATTGACTTAGGAGTAAAATAATCAAATCTGTTGTGTTTTGTTTCCTATTTTTTAATTTTCTGATTTCCTGACAGAGGGCGTGACTAACAATGTTGGGAGGTAGAGCAGTCCATCGCTTACTAGGCAGGAAATTTCAATCTGAATCCACGGTATGGCTGTACATTCTTTCTTCGTAGCCGATGCTTATACTCTGAATCTTTGGTTTATGTATATAAGGAGACTTATTGCCTTCAATGTGCATACTCTCTTAATCTCTTCAAAAAATGCTTTTTTTTGTACAATGATGTCTCGTATTTGAAGTGCATTTCATTGGCAACTGGAACACATTTCAGAGCTGTTTAGTTTTTTGTTCCGCAATATGTTGGGTCATGTTTTGATTTCTGTGTAATAGAAGGATAAATTATAATAGAGGATTAGTGTTCTTAAGACTAATAGAAGTGGGTTCTATTAAAGTTTAAGTGTACTAAAATTGTATTCAATATATTCAATCATGCAAACTGGAAAGTTCTCTGTGACAATGCAAATTGAAAAAAGGACTCAGCATTTTGTGACCCTGCATTAAATTGTTTTATGTGAATGCGGTCTGCTTTTTCCTGGTTGTGTTGGCATATATAGTTAAACATGCTGTACTACCTGATAACATAACATCCTTCTTGCGGCAATAAGCTAATAAGTAGTTCGACAAATCACCACTAGCTGTGCTAGAGCTCATATCTGATGTGGGAAATTTTGTGATTGGTACTGATTTAGTTGAAAGACTTGGGTCCTATCAATTTCAAGTTGTACAAATCTTTCATTAAAACTACATAAATTTTCAGGCATCTCCAATTTTATCATCCTTTGTTTCCAAAAAAGCTCAAGAAGAATTTGGTTCTTTTGGCATGAAGTCCTTCAGAACATTAGCACTCATTGGAGCGGGTGTATCTGGACTTCTAGGTTTTGCGACAGTAGCATCTGCTGATGAGGCTGAACACGGATTGGAATGCCCAAGCTATCCTTGGCCTCATGCAGGCATTCTTAGTTCATACGATCATGCTTCGTGAGTTTCTCGTGAATCTCTTATCCCC